ATCCCCCCTAATACACCAAGGGGCATCTCATCTTCTTCTTGTACTACTCAGTTCCTTCCACAACCCTCTCCTCTCTATATCATCTACTGGCCCGTAAGCCCCTTAGAAGAACCATATAGACCCATCTTCTTTGAGCTTGAACAGGATGGATAACGAGAATCTCCCTTTCCACACCTCCATCTTTGAGACCCACCTTCTGTCCCAAAACACAGCGATACCCCTTGCCGTCCCTACTGCATCAATAGCCTCCCTTTCCACAAATCTACCCCCCCATAAACTTTTCATAACCTTGCCCTCGGCTACATCTAGCTTAGTCTCCTGCAAACAGACTACATGAGCCTTCCAGTTCCTAATCAATGCCTTCTCCACCCTCCTTTTGTTCGGGTCATTTAATCCCCGAACATTCCATGATACAATGTTGAGCTTCATTAAGACATCTTTAATCCTCCACCTCCCCTTCTCCCCCCACTCCTCTTCTCCCTCCCTTCTCCACTCCTTCCCTCATAGTTAATATCTTAAAAAAGTCTGTTTAACTCCCTCACCCCTTTCGAAATGGGCCCAATTTTCTTTTTCTTCCCACCCCCCCAATTCATCTTCCACTGCTTGAAAAATACCTTTAGCTTTCTAATCATCCCCTGCCCAAGTTAGCCCCAAAAGTTTGCTCTCCTCTTCTATGGAACTCATGAACCAGTCCTCATTATTTCCTTCCAGTAGCACCAGGTTCTGATTCTCCTTATCCACTGCCAACAGTGTATGAACTCTCACCCACCCCTCACCACCTTCTTCTCCTTCCCAGGAGTCTGCTTGAAGATCTAACAAATTGCAGTCGGATACATCATCAGCTCTTATACATGTAACCATCTGTGTGGTTCCATCAGCCCCAGACACCCCAAGAGAATTTATACCATAAGAATTATTATTTTCCCATCTCCCCCTTAATTCAGAATGCAGCATTTCCGCGGCTTCCCCGTCAATAATAATCTTTATTTTCTCGTCCCACACATAATAAAGCACTTCCGTCCACGGTTGAATTCAGCAACAGCTTAAATATCTCACTATGATCTGTCTCCAAACTAGGATTCTCCCGTACTGAATTACGGGAATCTTCTGCCGACTCTCCTTCCTCATCCCCTTCAGACACCGATGAGAGTCTCTGAAGATCGAGACACAACACCCCCCAGTCCTTCTTCCTCTTCTCACTCCCTCTCCTCCTCTGATGCTTCTTCTTCTACTCCTGGGTTGGTGAGGATTCTGCTTTTCCTTTCTAGATCTTCTCCCACTGTGACTTCTGTAATGCTTAGAGTTTCTCTGTTCAGTAGCACAAGTTATGGACTTCGCACATGAGATAACAGAGTTTGGCTACACATTATAAATAGAAATGGAAGGATTAATAATTGGACCCCCACAGACGGCCCGATCATTTGAGTTAAGAAAATAATCTGGCCCAGGCCAGAACCAATCTCAGGCAACTTCGGCCCAGTTGGGTGTAGGCCCGGATTGAATGATCCGTCTAACTGCGTGCCCAAACACTGTCTGGCCCCATCAACACCCTTATCCAGAATCTTCGTCGTCCTTCCCCGTACACATCTTTGATCATCTATAGCAGCGTCACTGCCACATATGGCCCCAGAACAGTCACGATTCCTCCCACGTAGACGACGCCACCCCATCTTTTCATCCCTCGACTTTCTCGCATGCATATCCGCCCTTCCCTGACCTTGATATCTGTCTTTCCTCTCCGACGCCGCCGATCTATCAGAACTAAAGAAGTCTACGCTGAGATCGCAAAGTCTGGTTCTTCTTCTTTCCTTTTCCAAAAAATCCTTCCCAACCCTCTGCTTGCTCTCTGGGCCATAATTATGTGAAGTCATGTACTCCCTCTATTGGGATCCAGCACCATCCCCTTCCTTGACGATCCGCGGTGGCATCTCCTTTGTCTCAAAATCGATTTTTGTCATCTTAATATCCTCATTCATATTACTTCCGTACTGATCCAACCCCTTAAATAGAGACTCCACATGGACCTTATCCAGCCCATTCTCGCAGACTTCCTCCAATGGCCCAAATGCGTTACATAAAATCAGCCCATGACTTTTCTCTCTCCCATCTGCTTGTCTCCCTTTAGTGACATGGGCCTTTCCAGCCTTTCCTCGATTCGGACCCTTTTGAGTAGCCCAATCCTGTGTCGCAGCCCATCACACCCCTGACCCATTCTCTCCCTAGAGAATAAAACATTATTTATCTTCTTTCTGATCTCAGCTTTAGCCCTTCCAACCAAACTTCATTCCCCTCCTTCAAACTCGCGGGCCCCATGAGCTACATCATGGCCAGTATGTCCATTAGTTTTACTTTGACTTTCTTTTGCTTTATTGAAAATCCCATACCACGCGGGTGAAATAACCGACGAACAAGATTTAATGCAATCTGAAGGAGCGTGTTGTGATGCTCCACGTGTCGCCTGTCGCCTATCCTTCCCCACGCTCTTGACCGGCGCGTAACCTCCCCGTCGTCTTCCTCCCACGAATTTCACTGATCTTTGAATCTCTCTTTCCTTCAGCCAATCTTAAATCTCAAGAGCTCCTCCTGGCCCTTTGCTTAAGATCCTAAACCATTCTTCCTCTGTCATAAGATGTGCCCCATCACTTCCTTCCAAGCTTTTGGTTGTAGGAACAAGCTATGGTAAAGCCTCTTCCCATACCGAGATTTTATAGCAGACACAATTATCGTAAATAAACACAAACTTCGGGCAAGAAGATCCAAAATTCACTGTAATCCGTACACTTTTAGTATCTCTTGTTTCATTGGCTTCTACTTTAACAAAATCTCCACATAAATTCCCTGTTTCAACAAAAAGTGCATGACACCAGAGAGAAGGCCAAACAACCGAATCTTCTTGAGTCCTCTATCCTTGAGAAGTCCAGAGCATCTGACCCTAAAATTCCAAACGTCAATCCTCAGTGTAGCAGAACCCCACTGTCTTCTTCCTTACTTTAGTACCCGTTGAGCCTCTGAAGATGAAGGAAATCTAAACAGAAGGAGAGAATCAGACAATGGCGTCACACCCACCCTACATGAAGAGTTCCACGCCCGCTCCACCTAGTCTTCTATGTGTTCACATCCCACAACGTCCTTGTCAAAGCACCCAACCAAGCAGGACTTTAAAATCTCTCCCCTACCTTCTACTGACGCCTCATCAATGTAAATCGATGGACCTCTGTGCGGTAAAGCTATCTTAACACTTCCCCCCAGTGACAACCTTGGTAACCTTGCAACCTCCAGAAAAGACTTCATCCTCCCACACAGTCACCATTCTATTCAAGTTTTATGGAGCAGCTCCGTTTGTATATTGCCCAAGAAAGTCATTAGGGAAACAAAGAAATATCTAGAGGATTTATTGAAAGGGGGTGCTTTATTTATGGTGGCTCTAAAGATTGCTTGGGAGGAGATCTGCCTTCCTAAAATGGAGGGAGGAGGGAGGAATTGAAATCAAAAGCCTTATTTTTGGAATCAATTAACTATAGGTAGACACCTATGGAATGTGTGCTTTACTCTCTCCAGGTAACATTCATTTCCTTGAGGAGAACAGCTTTACAAGCTGGAAGAAAATTTTAAAATTGGGAGAAATCTCTAAAAAGCATGTTAGGCAAGGTATGATCCCTTGTTTCCTAATGGACCTCTTGTTAGATTCGGAGGATGGGGTTTTTAGAATTGGTATTTTAATTGTTTCATTTGTTCTCTATCCTAAAAAAGTAGGATTTACCAATTCCTGTCCCAGCCAAAATGACATGAACATTGAAAATGTTTGTTAAAATACTCATCATTTTGCTGTTGTTTAAATCTATGTTACATGGATTCGGGTATAGGTGTCGGACACGGGTATGTATCCATATGTCAGACGTGTCAAATCTCTAAATAGAAAGACACACGGACACGGCTAAATATTCATTTTAGTAATTATTTTATTTTATTTCTAGAGTAAAGTAATGTTTTTATCTAATATAATGTTTAATATAGGCATTGAACTCTTTTTAAAGTAATAATATAATGTAATTGAGTGATTGGATATGTTTTCTAAGTACATGTCTAACCAAAAGTGTCGGACACATATCCCATATCCATGTGTGAGGGATATGTGTCCGACATGGGTATTTCAATACTTTTAAAGAGTCCATGTAACAGGGGTTTAAATTGCTTAGAGAATTTCAATAAATTTCAAGAAATTGCTTCTTCAAAAGTAGTGAAGTACTGGTGTCAGACACATATCCTCAGACTTGGGTATGTGATGTGTCTGACACTTTTGGTTGGACATGTACTTAAAAAACATAGCCAATCATTCAATTACATTATATTATTACTTTAAAATGAGTTAAATGCCTATATTGAACATTATATTAAATAAAAATATTATTTTACTCTAGAAAATAAAATAAAATAAAATAATTAATAAAGTGAATATTTAGCCGTGTCTGTGTGTCCTTTTGTTGGAGATTTGACACGTCCGACTCATGGATACATACCCATGTCCCAAATCTGTACTTGAGTCCATGTAACATAGCTTAAGAGAATATGGGATTTGATAACCATTGGATTTAAAATCCCGGATTTTAAAATTGCATGGCTAGATTCTCATGAAATTTGATGTGTTAATTTTTTTGTTCAAGAATCTAATTTTGCCAAAAAAAAGAAGAAAATAATACATAAATTTTAATTACTAGCTCTCTCTGTGTGTCTCTAAATTATTTTTATAGCAATCTTCTTATGTAAAGAATTGCTGGTGATGTCTAATTATGTGATTTTGGTGTGTTGCCCTTGAATCCCTTAAGTTGCAATGTGTTTTTTGTTTCTGAGAATGTACCTATGTGGCAGCATGATAAATATTGTAATGTTGTTCATATGTACCTAATGTTGGTTTTAGTTGATAGATTTAATTTTTTTGTTTATTTCGCCCTCTTTTCAATTAAATGTTGGTCACTATTTTAAATGTGGCTTTGGCTTTCTAGGAAGTACGTGTGGTTCTCGATCTTCTAGTTCGTCATCCTCTTTTGGATTCTCAGGAGGTAGTTCCTGGTTTCGATCTTTTCATTGGCCATCCTTCTTCCGACGAAAGCCTAAGGTTGGTAAGAGATTGAAGTTTTTTAAACTTATGGTATTGATGTTTTGTTTCAAAACGTTTATTTTTGCATATCTATAGACACACAATACGCTCGTTGTGCATTTTTCCTTTGGTTAAGTGACCTTTATATTTTACCGTCTTAGCTCAAAGCTTGCAGATTGTTTTTGGGTTATTTCTTTGACATGACAAGGATGTGACCACTAATTTTTATTTGGAATAAACATCTTGATTGAATTTTTCCCAGAATTATGCTCGATAAGGATCACGTAATTTCCTAACTAGCATGGTGCTGTAATTATTTGCTGCACATTGCCAAACAAGCTTAATTTGTTTTCTAACATTTTATCTCCAATAAATGTCATTTCAACCATCTCACGAAATTGAATCAACTTCAATTTTGCATTTTTTTTTTCTTTCTTCCTGAATGTGGTGTTTTTATTGATACAAAGTGAAATAAAGTACATAGGAAAGCCTATAGGCTTAACAACTCTAAACCAGAGCGATAAATGAGAAAAGATGACCAGGGCATACCCCAACAATCAACAACACCTAAGAATGAAAAAAACAAAAAAACAAAACAAAACGGTGGTGGAGTTTCAATTTTACTTCTTCTTGGTACCATGTCACACATTTATTTTAACATTACCATTTCTGGAACACTCTTATTTTTTTTCTCCTATAAATGGTGGTGGAGTTTCATTAAAGGTAACACAATAGAGTACATGACTTAGACCTATTAGCTTGGTGAGGTGTGTTTATAAGCTAAAAGGTGATGTTCTAGCCTTGTGCTTGAGTTCCGTTCTAGATGGTATCATCTCGGATACCCACAATGCTTTTGTTGGCAGCCGGTAGAATTGGACTCGGTCCTTATTGCTAGTGTGTGTGTGGACACTAAGAAGGCGTATGATCATGTTACTTGGAGCTTTTACTCTACTTGTTAAAGAGGATGGGGTTCAAGGAGAAGTGGAGGAGGTGGATTGAGTTTTGCATCTCCTTAGTGAGATTCTCAGTTCTGCTGAACGGATTCCGTCTGGTTTCTTTAGCAGTTCGCAAGGTCTGAGGTAAGGGGATCCTCCCTCTTCTTTTGTGTTTATCCTTGTGATGGAGGCCCTTAGTAGACTGATGAGTAGAGTAGTGGATTTGGGTTTCATCAGAGGATTTGGGTGGGTAGAGATCATGTTTCCCCGTTGGAGATTTCCCACTACCTTTTTTTTTTTTCTCTTCTTCTTCTTCTTCTTTTTTTTTTTTTTTTTTTTGTGATGATGACATGTTCAAGGTGAGATACTTGCCGTGTGTTTTGATTTTGTTTAAGGTAGTTTCTGGCTTGAAAATCAATGTGGGGAAGGGTGTGCTGGTCCGGTGGGGGAGGTTGTGGAGATCTCTGCCTTTGTTGATTTTCTTGGATATGGAGTTGGATCCTAACCTATTTCGTACTTAGATTATCATTAGGATTGCCTTTGAGAATAGTTGGTGGGTGGGACCCAGTGGTTGAGAGGTTTGAGAGGAGGCCTGGGGGTGGAAGAAGCAGTATCTTTCTTAGGGCGGGAGGGTCACCCTGATGAAGATCACTTTGTCGAGTCTTCCTACTTGTTTCATATCTCTATTTCAGATTTCCTCTTCTATGGTTATGAGGTTAGAGAGGCTTTAGCACAATTTCCTTTGGGAGGAGGAGTCCAAGCATCATCTTGTTTACTGGGAGCAGGTTTGCAAACTAATTTAGTTAGGATGCCGGGGAGTCGAAGATTGAAGCATTTCAATAAGGCTCTCTCGGAAAAGTGGTTGTGGAGATTTGGAGTGGAGAGACAGAGTCTGTGGAGGAGGGTCATTGCTGGCAGATTAGGGGAGAAGAGTAGTGGTTGGTGCTCTTTTGAGGTGAGGATTCTTAGAGGGTTGGTGTTTGGAACTTCATTTGCAAGGGATGGGATGAACTATCCAAACACATCTGATCGCTACTGATATGTATGCTCCGATGGCCTACTGTTATAAGCTTGATAGCGGGAGGATTACCTAAGATGTGCACCTTTCAAGGCACTTCGAGGATTGGGAGTTGGAAGTGGCCTACAGGATACGTATTGCCAAGAGGTGGATGGTGATGTAGTTGACTCTTGAGGGTGGGCACTCTCTGCTTTGTGGGCGCTTGATGTGTGTTCTTTTTATAGAGCTCTCTCTTATGCCCTGACAGTTGCTTTCCCTTGGAAAGTAGTATGGCGCACAAAAACATCTACAAGGTGGCTTATGGGTAGGATTCTGACCCTGAACAATTTGAGGAGGAGACGTATTGTTTTCAATAGGTGTTGCATGTGATGGGGAGGAAACTCTTATTGGGGCTCTGAAGTTCTCTATTCTTGGTTCTCTTTTTTGTTGGGTTTTTGGTAGAAATTGCAAATCCTTAGGGGAGAGAGTTGATTTTTTGGACACATTGAGAGGCTGAGGTTGGTCCTTGTTTGTTTTTGTGGGTTGCATTCCCCTATTGAACGCTTTCAGTTACAAACTTACTTGTCCAAAAACAAAAAAGAAGAGTACTAAATTATGTTACAATACAAGACCAAAGAATTACTCAAAATAACTTCTTTCGTTACCTAGGATTAATACGTCAAAAAGATGTTGAGATAGTTGTTGATTTAGTAAAGTAGGATTGGAGTGGGGTGGACAAAATGGAGGCAAGCTAGTTGTATCCTTTGTGACAAAAGAATACCAAATAAATCAAAAGGAAAATTCGATAGAATATTTATTAGACCAATAGAAGAAGATACTATCGATCATCTATTGTCGCATTTTCCGTGGCCCGGGATAGTTAGAGATTACATTCCTATGGGTTTCTTCAGGGATTTTTAGAGATCCTTTGACGGAGAGGAGACTCCTATTGGGGCGCTGAAATTTTCTGTTATTAGTTCTTTTTTTTTTTTTTTTGTTAGGTTTTTGGAAGAAATTGTAAATCTATGGGGAAATACTTGAATATTTTTTTTTCGGGACTTGTTGAGAGTCTAGGGGGCTCTTTTTGGCCTTGTGTAGTTTTTGCGGGATGCGTTTCCTGTTTGAACGTTTTCTAATATAATCTTACTTACCAAAAATAAATAAATAAAAATATTAGACCGGGTATATTATATAGAGCAGAGTGTTGGGCGTTGAAAAGGAATGAAGAACAATGCATTCATGTAGGGGAAATGAGGATGTTATGTTGGATGATAGATTTAACTAGAGGAGATGTGATTCAAACTGAATGTGTGAGGGGACCACTAGCTATAGCGCTTATAAATGATAAAATTAGAGAGTAGACTTAGGTTGTTTGGCCATATTGAACGTAGACCCTATGATGCACTTGTTAAAAGAGGAAAATAGTTTTCATAGAAGGTAAGCGACAAAGAGGCAGACGAAAACTTGTGTGGGTTGAAGTAATAAAAATGATTTAAAAATATTGAATCTAAGAGAAGACATGATAGATAATGGGAAAGAATGAAAAAAGAGAATTCAAGTGGCCGACCCTATCCACATGGTTTAAAGGCGATGATGATGATAAACATGACTATGATGTGGATAAGGCCTGATTGCTATCCTAAAGGCATTTACACAGTGAACTTCATTCAAAGTGCTGAACCATGAAAATTCTTTAGGAATTTTAGCTCCAATGCTTATGTCCTTGACCTACTAGAAGACATGGGTACAAGTAAAGTCTTCGTCATTGATCATCTCCACCTTGCTTGTTACATGATGAGCTGTTAGTCACCTTCCACCAGCCTTATGTTTAGAGGAGGAAATAGAAGATATTTTTTTTGCCACCAACTTGTTTCAACATTTTTTGTTTAATAAGTAAGATTTATTAAATGACGCTAGCGAACCCTAAGAAATACTAAGATGCCCAAGGCGACACTATAGTTTCAAACTATCCGTAAACTCCAAAAGATGATCTAAAGATTTACAATTTCTCCCATTGACCCAAAAGATAAAGAAGAAAGTATGTTGTATTTGAGAGACCAAATAGGAGACTCCTCTCCATTAAAGGATCTCTTATTCCTCTCACGCCACAAATCCCACCATAAACAGAGGGGTGTGGCCATCCAGGCATCCTTGGCTCTGCTCTCCACTATACATCCTCTCTAAGCCACAAGCGAATCAACTGTGAAAGCCGAAAGCCCCCAACAAATACCAAACATAACCAAGAACATCGACCAAACATCCCTCACAACTGGGCAATGAAGGAGGAGGTGATTAATTGATTCGCCCGACTTCTTACACATACACATATAGACGATAATGTGCCTTCTCCTTCCAAGAGTATTGATAGTGAGAATGCTTCCTATGGCAGCCAAGCAAGCAAAGGGGGATTTTTGTCCTCCAAATAGCATAGCCTTCCAAGGAAAAGCTTGGCCTGGGGGCCTTTGACATTAACTGGTAGAAGGCCTTGACCTCAAAAATCCCTTTAGGGGATCCTACCCACATCATCTCATTCATGCCCTACAACAACGCAAAGATATCGAAGACCTCCGCAAGTTCCCAATCATGACGAAACCGAATGTTCTAAGTCAATCTACCATTATCGAGCCGATAACAGTCTGCCACTAAAGGATGCGTATCTATAGAGATCCTAAAAAGCCAAATGAATCTTTTGGCCAATAGCAAATCCCCGCACCGGAGGTCATCCCAAAATCTAACATGCCTCCCATTATCGACTCTGAATCGGATGTGTTTGGAATACTCATCCCACCCCGCTGGATAATCTTCCAAATACCCACCCGTGCTGGGGAACGCACCTCCCTAAAGACCATCCTCCGTCTCCCTCTCCACATTGACAAACAATGATCCTCCTCCATAACATGCACCTCTCCCTCCCAAATCTCCAAAGCCATTTGCCCAACCGAGCGTTGTTGAACAAACCCAACCTACGAATACCCAAGCCTCCCTTTCTAATAGAGGAACAAATTCTCTCCCAATTCACCAGGTAATACTTAAATTCACCTTACTTTCCACCCCATAAGAAGTCCTTGAATTTTCTCCAATCTCCG